TGGGGACAAGAAAACGGTTAAGTATGGGGGAGTTTGATAACGATGTAATTGCACATGTTTGCGCCCCTAGTTCTTATCCGTTTGAGGGGCATAGTTGTGTGCTTTTGGCCTATTTTACGCCGGGTTGTGCTATTTTGTCATGTTTCAGGTCCCAGGTGTCAAAGGGAAGGCTAAGCGCGAGTTTCGGGGCATTCGGAAATCATTTCGGTGAGCTGGAGCCAAAACACGGGCACACCTAAATCATTACACGGCCGTGTTCTGGTGGCCGTGCTTTTTATGCCGAGAGCTGAGCTGATTACACGGGCAGGGCTGAGATAGAACACGGGCGTGCTTCACCAAAGCACGGCCGTGTCCTCCCCGAAGCACGGCCGTGTTTCTCCTAGTGTAATTAACACTAGCCAAAGCACGGGCGGGCTGAGGCATTACACGGCTGTGCCCTCGACCGTGCTTTGGCCACTGATGCTTTTAAGCAGATTTTCAGCCACAATTCAAGGGGATTCGAGTTTTTGGGAGAGAGAACGATTCCTAGAGAGAGAAAGCGACGAACAAGAGTCTCCAAGTGCCCTAGATTGATCTTCAACACCATTGGAGGCCAGCTTGAGCTTGGAGGAGTGCCAATCAACGTCCAGGAGCAGGAATCCATCCTTCACAGTATGAATTCCGCGTCTGATTCTGCTTTTGCTTTCTTCTCCATGGAGTAGTTCTCCCATTCATCTGGGTATGGAGAACCCTAGATTTGTATGTTAGGCTTTGATTGTATGAACCCAAGTACTGAATCTATGATTGATTATATTCGATTGAGGTTTGAATGATTGAATGACTTGAATCCTGATCAAATTCCTGTTGTTTCTGCTTTAACCTAGAATGAGAATATCTTCCTAGGTTAATAGAGTATCCTTGATTGAAGGTAGGGAGTTGGTGACTTTAGTCGAGGAACCAACTCACTATTCTGTACCGGATTTACTCCGGTAGTGGAGGTTTTGTTCTTAGGGCCTCAATCTGTTTACTCCGGTGGAGGTTAGTCGCCCGCTAGAGACTCAGATTGAGAGGGTCTGAAGACCTTTAGTCGAGACTTCAGGCTGTTTAAGAACCTTCCGCAGTATAACTATCATAGAAACTGAACTTGGTAATTACAATCCGGCTTAACTGCAGTCTAGGGGGAACCATATCCGGGTGACCTCTTTAACCTGAATACAACAGCTTACTTGCTTTGTTTGTTTGGTAGTTTAGACTTGCATTCCAGTTTCGTTGCTAGATAACAAGAACTCACTGAGTAGTCATCAGATCTAGGACCTGGGTTGACATATAAACCTAACCCGCTATACTACGCTTTAGGAAGTGGTTATACTTGGCCAATTCCTGGAGTGACAGTAGAAGTGAGTCAGACTGTCTCCTTCCATCTATGATATGCTCGTGGTTTCCAAATGCTGCAGATTTTGATATTGTGCAGCACTGAATTATAAATTAGATTGGTTATTGTGTTTCGTATTCTTTAGGCAAAGATACAAAAAGCTGTTGCACAGTTTCTCTTTTGTGTAACATGTTTAGCCTTGGGTAATTTTGGATGATGATTCAGTCGTCCTAGGACTTCATCATGAAATATCATTTGGAAGTTTCATTTACTGTGGGAAGTTCAGCGTTTGTACAGCTGAAGATAATTGAAATCTTATGCATGAATACTAAATCAAATCGCAGTTATGGTTCTGCTTGACTTCTCATATTGTAGGTATGCTGCTTATATGTCATCAATATCCTATTTTCTTTAGTTATCAGGTAAATTTGTACTTATTCTATCAAGCTGGACAAATAACCTTGCCATTATATATTGAAAATCATCATTGTGATGCTTAGACGGTTCATATTTTACCTATGATATTAGCTGGTGTTCCTAGGGAAATTAACTCGACAGTATTGGCTCTTCTTCCAAAAGTGGTTGGGGCAGATCAGATGAAGCAATTTCGACCTATTTCTTGTTGTAATGTGCTTTACAAGTGCATTGCCAAGATACTAGCAAACAGGCTTTCCACAGTTCTTCCACAGTTAATTAGTAAAAGTCAGTCAGCATTTGTGAAAGGGAGAAGCATAAGTGATAATATTTTGATGGCATCTGAACTGGTAGCAGGGTATAATAAGAAACATATTTCCCCTAGGTGTACAATGAAAATTGACCTAATGAAGGCTTTTGACTCCATAGATTGGGAGTTTCTATTTACAGTGATGACAGCAATGGGGCTTCCCTCACAATTTGTCTCATGGATCAAGGTATGTGTTTCTTCCCCTATGCTCAGTGTTGGAATAAATGGGGGAGTGTGTGGTTACTTTCCTTCAAAGAAAGGTTTACGTCAAGGAGATCCCTTGTCCCCATTTCTATTCTCAATAGCAATGGAAGTGTTGTCCTGTATATTGAATAAGGGAGCTGAATCTGGAGAATTTCCTTATCACCCTAGATGTAAAAGACTGGGTATTACTCATTTAGTATTTGCAGACGACTTATTACTGTTTTCAAATGGTACTACAAAAGCTGTGGAAAGTGTAAAAGGATTGCTGGATAGATTCTACAGACTTTCAGGGCTGAGGTTCAATCCAGAAAAAAGTCAACTTTTCTGTGCAGGGATTGAAGAGATGGAACATGTAAGACTAGCTCAGTTGGTTGGTTTTCAGAAAGCAGTGATGCCTGTTCGATACCTAGGTGTGCCTTTGATAGCAGGGAAATTGACTACAAGTGATTGCCGAGCCTTAGTAGAGAAAATCACTAAAAGAATAGCTGGCTGGAAGCCTAGACTACTTAGCTATGCGGGTAAGCTACAACTGATTAATTCTGTGCTGAGTAGCCTTTCATTTTACTGGATGAATGTATTCATATTAACCCTGTCTATCATAAAAGAAATAGAAAAGATATGTAGTAACTTCCTATGGGGGATAACTGAAGATTCCATGAGGAAGAAAGCTGTAATGGCTTGGGAGCTACTGGCAATTCCTAAAAAGGAAGGGGGGTTACGCATTAGATGCCTTAAAACATGGAATGTGGCTTGTACAACTAGGCATATCTGGGCTCTGCTTGCAAAAGAAGGGTCCTGGTGGGTTGCATGGAACTACTTTTACCTAATTAAAAATCTTACCTTCTGGGAATTGGGGAAATGCAGTACTGCATCCTGGGTTTGGAAGAGACTATTAAAAGTAAGAGATAAGGTAGAAGGACTCTTCCGTTGTTGGGGAACACAGGTGTATTGGAATGATAAAAGGATGCTGCATTATTCAGTGAAGCAAGTTTGGGAAGATTTGCAGCCAGATAGGCCTAAAGTGGCCTGGTATCAGTTGGTTTGGGAGAAGTACTCGATCCCAAACATAGTTTTCTATGTTGGGTTATAACAAGAAATAGGATTACAACTCTTATGCAATTGCAGAGCTGGGGGAAGATAGCTAGTGCAAACTGCTTGTTTTGCTTAACGCAATCAGAGGACAGGGATCACTTATATTTCCACTGCCAATATACTTCACAGGTGCTGAAAGGTTGTCTGCAAATGCTGAACTTGAGTTGCCCTCAGGTAACTGGATATGATAATTACTTGGACTGGGCAGTAAGAAAATTTAAAGGGAAGAAGGCAATGGCCATGGTAGGACGATTGGTTTGGAACTTAATGGTGAGTTTGATTTGGAGGGAACGTTGTGGACGATTGTATGGAAGTATAGTTGTGCAGTCTGGGGAGTTGGTAAGGGAAGTGCGCAGAACAGTCGAGCTGGCTAGACATGGCAATGCAGCTCTGGATGCTGATTGCAGGGTGATTTTTAGTCAGTAACAGAAGTGGTTAGGATAGTTTCTGGTATTGTAGTTAGCTGTGTAAATGTAGTAATATAGAAGCAGTAATCCTAGTGTTGTTGTAAAGACCCAGATGTGTTCATCCTCTGTTTTAAGAGGAGGCACATAGAGCTTCAATAAATTTTTTGATATTGCCCATCAAAAAAAAAAAGATATTAGCTGGTGTTTGATGTGTATATTGATATAGTCATTATGCTGCTTATTTTCATATAGAACACTTTCATCTTCTAATATATATTTTGATTCCTAAATAAGTATGTCTCAATAACCTACATCCCGGCGCGGAGCGCGGGCAATGAGAACTAATAAAGAAAGAAAAAGGGAACACACAACTTAATGATTATTAGATGACTACCCTCTCAATGTTAAACTTCCATGTTTTATAGTAACCAGCCATAGAATAGAGTAGAGATTGTTAAGTCATGTTGAAAAGTCGTCCCTGCCAAATAGCCCAAAAATAATACTAAAGAAAGAACAATAATTGTTGGTATACTCGTCTAAGAAACACAGCAACTACCAGCTGTTTCTTCTTAATTTTGTAATTTTTGATCTGTCTGCAAGTCAATGTTGAAAAGTCGTCGCTGCCAAATAGGCCACAATAATTCTATAGAAGAACAATAATTGTGGGCATACTTTACTAACACACCCTCTCAAATTCAAACCATTCAGATAGGTTTGGAGTTTTCACAGAACCAATTGATCTTAATCACTAAAACTGTTGGCAGATGTTCAATCGTGGATCACTATATACCGTTTACTAATAATACCTTCATAAATTTATGTATGGTCGACCATTAGAAAAAATATTTTCTGAGTAAAAGATAATAGTCGATCTAGATTATGCCGTCATTTTTGTATGAATATTATATAGCAATCGATAGACCTGGCAAATTACGACCCGACTCGTTGACTCAATCCGAACCCGCCCTAAAAGTAGAAGTTCTTATGACCCGAAACACGAATGACTCGAACCCAATTAACCCGTGATTTTCTGAGAGGCACGAAAACATATGGGTTAGATAATATTTGAGCCAAAGTTAACCAACCTAACATGACCCGACCTGCAACTCGATTGTCCAACCGACCCGATTGCCAGATCTAGCTTTTGTCACCATTTTCCCCCCTACATTTTCTATTGAATGCACTTGCACCATATAAAAGTCATGGCCTACTATCACTTTCTATCTTCTTTCAGCAAGTTCATTCAAAAGTCAATACGTCTTTTTTTTTAGAAAGCAATACTGTAATTCTTTATCAAGTCTGTTCGTCAATATAAGACTTCCACAACTCAACTTCAATATATCTCCCTTGTCTAGCTAACACTGCCTTCAGAGTTGGCCGATAGATCGATCGGAAATCGAAATGGCTCCCTTTGATTTTAAGTCCAACAAACACTTTGCATCTTCGTCCGATGGGGCTACCCTCCAAGTCTACGAGTTGATAAAGTCAACTCTTACTCATCCATCTTCCATCCGGAAGACTCACTGGAGGGAAGTAGCCAACATCAACACCAATCTCGATGGTGACGACGATGGCGGAGGAGATGATAACACGGCGGATGAAACGAGGACTTACGATGGGTTGGTGTTCTTCGATGGCCATGGGAAAATTGAGGGGCGGGAAGCCTTGACCAAGCTGGCCCAACACCTTAAGCGGTTAAGCTTGATGGTGAGTCCAGGAGGGCACTGCTTCCAAGATGTGAATGAGCTTGGAGAGTACGTCGACTTCGGAGTTCACTATCTCCGACTGAACGATTTGTTCAGCTGGCCCCATCATGGAGTCGACCTCGCCAGAACTGACAAGTGGGGTAGTTCGGAGTTGAAGTACCACGATCCCAGACATGGTCAACGATCAAAGCACACCGCAGGAGGAGGCAGCGCAATCAGTATGGAGAAGTACAAGGAGTTGAAAAGGCTGCTGACGGAGAAGGATGAGAAATTGGTGAATCTGAAAGAGGAGATGGACGACGAGTTGCAGAATATACGAGAGAAGAAGGACGAGGAGCTGCAGGAGCTGAGAGAAGAAATGGGCAAGCTCAATGAAGTAAAAGAAGAAGCATTGCAAAAGCTAAGAAGAGAAAAGGATGAGGAGTTGCGAAAGTTAACAAAGAAGAAGGATGCTGAACTACAAATGTTGAGGAAAGGAAAGGACAATGGAGCTATTCCGCAAAAGTTTCGAAAGGAGAAGGATGATGAGTTGCGAAAGGTGAAGAATGAGATGGAGGAGGAGATGGAGAAGCTGAGGAAAGAGAAGGAAGACGAGCTCGAAAGGTTAGAAAAAGATAAAGAGGAAGAAATGTCGACTAGACTGATGGAGAAGGACGATGAATTGCAAAAGTTAAAGAAGGAGAAGGACGAGGAGTTTCAGAAGGTAATAAAGAGAAAGGACGAGGAGCTGCAAAGACTTAAAAAGGGAAAAGAAGGCGGAGCAAGTTTGCAAGCGTTCAGAAAGGAGAAAGAAGATGAGCTGCAAAAACTAAGGCATGAGAAAGACGAGGAGATAGAGAATCTCAAGAGGCAGAAGGACGAAGACATCGAGAAGGCGGTGAAGAAGAAAGAGGCGGAGACCCTACTCGAGAAGGATGAAGAAATACAAAAGCTAAGAAAGGAAAAGGAAGACGAAATTCAAAAATTGATGAAGGAAAAAGATGAAGAGATTAGAGGGAAGCCAATCAAGTACAGTGACGAGGAAGTGGAAGATATGAAGAAAGAGTTGGCAAAGCTAAGGGACGAACTATCGTCGAGCACAGTTAAGTGCTCATCCGTGTTGTCACCTGGTGGCAAGGTCCTATACGGAGTCCCCAACAACGAGGAGTGGGCGTTCCACGTCAGTCACCGGCGGCCAGTGCCGCCGGAGACATTTTGGTGTTTTACAGGCCAGGTTAGTCGGCACAACGTCAAGGTTTTTTACTTGCCTGACTTGACAGAGCCACGACTGAGCGCTGTCTATAATACCTATCATTCGGTCGACGAAGGTATCGCAGAAGAGTGGCTTGCTCCATATGAAAAATGGGTACACACAGAAACTACCGGCCAAGGGCAGTTCGACGTGAACAATTGGTGGTTTGCGAAGACGTCTGATCCTGAAGGCGGGATGACGATGATGGCTTATTACTATGGGGATCGATATTGCATTCAGCATAGTCGGTGGGGGACGATTCGGATTCCGTATCCCAATGGTGTTGATTTCAACGCGAATCGGAATTTCTACATGGGTAATCTCTGTGGCAAGATCGTGTTTTGTTTCACGTTTAGGAATTAGGAAGAGGGATGATTTTCTTCAATTTCTGGCATTCTTGTTTGCTCTACTTGTCTCTATTGTTGTTTCATAGCTGTATAATCCTTCATTTTCTCCTTGGATAGTGTTTTAATTTCCATGTTGCTTCATTGTTTCTTGCAATAAAAATCCATTTCCTCTTTGTTCGTTGCTCGTGGGGTAAATGGGAGTTAATATATTTCTACTATCATGTATTCAACCATCCTACAGTCTTGGTTGTTCATACCATCATGATACGTTTTTCAACCATATGTAAGCTCTTATTTTAATAATAGTCAACACCATATGGTATAGACAGGTAAAAAATGGCTCAATTCTTTTAATTTAAAAATATTTTAAAGTGGATATCATTTTGAAGAGCACAATTAATCTAATCTAACTATGCAAAAAAAAAAATAATTAATTTTTGACTTAAAACGAGCGAGAAATCGTCCATTAAAGATTAAGGAGAGAGAAATTAAATGCTTTTCAGGAGAGAGAAGTAGCGCTGATGTGGCGGATTCTGATTGGGTTATGCATAGTTATTGACCACTAAGTTATTGACTCGATCTGCTTCCCCAAAACACCTTAGGGTGCATAACTATGAGTAACCAAATCTAGACCCTTCTTTTAAGTGGCTGCATATCTAAGGGTGGAGAATTAAAGGATTTTATTTTCCCTAGTTTTCTTGGTTGGATCATATATTTTTCATTCTAACTCAGATTTCAATTTTTTTCACAGATGGATTGAGTTCGTTGTGCTTTACAAAATGATATCCATTTTCAATATTTTTGGAGAAATTTTTTTTCATATCTTTCATTACCAACTCCATACCATATGGTATCTCCTTCGTTTTTTAGTCGTTTTCAAAAAAATTTTGCACAGAATCAAAGATTTAATCAAAATTTCTGGGTGAAAAAATTTCATAACTCTCGTTACCAACTCCATACCATACTATACCACCCTGGTATGGGGTGGTATTTTTCATACCATATAGTATACTCTTATTTAATACCAGTCAATACCATATGGTATTGGTAATAGCTGGAAAAAAAATTTATTCCAAAAAAATATCAAAGTGGATATCATTTTGAAGAGCACAATTAATCTGATCTAACTGTGCAAAAAAATTAAATTCCTACTTAAAACGAGTGAGAAATCACCCGTTAAACATTAAGGGAAGGAAAATTAAAGTTTTTTTTCGAAAATAGAGAAGGAGGCACTAATGTGACGGATTCTTATTGGATTATGAATGAAGTTATTGCACCAAAAAGTTAGTGACTACATCTGCTCCCCAAAACCAAACCTCAACCCTCAATGGTCTCAAGTATTCTGCCCCTATTGACCGATGAACTAATGCCCAAACCTGATGAGCCTAGATTGTGAAAAAAATTACAACAAAAGACCACACTCAAACCCGCAATCCGGATTTGAGCTCTACAAAATTAATTAGGGTATGCAACATTAGCTTATATTGGGAGGTTCAAAAATGGTATTCTGGACTTACTATCCAGCTCCAAGTACTTCAACGTGTAGAGGGACACTCCAGCTTCAAAACAAGCCATTAATCTCCAATTTTCATCAAGAAAATTGTAAGATATGAATCTACAAAGTAGACACCATGAAATTATTTTTACACTGAAGCAACAAATTAGGTCGAGCTAATCCTAACTGAGGTCGACCTAAAAGTGCAAGTTACGGTGACGTCATCGTAACAAAGTCCAAAGTTATAATATATTTAAACAAACAAACAAAAAATAACAGTCTCACTAATTTATTTGTTCCCCTATCTCTCTCCATCGAAGAATCTATTTTCATTGATCAACTCCGGCGAATCACACCCGCCGATGCCCACCACGAAAAAGAATACGACTCACAAGTGGCGAATTAAAATAATTTCTCCCTACCTCAATTGTTCTTCGTCGAAGCCATAGGAGCAGACGCGTTGACCCCCTCCCATACTGCCGCTGCAAAACTCTCCAACACCGAAGTTGTTCGACGTTGTCAAACCGGGGTGCTCAATTAGTATGATATTGTCCGCTTTGGGTCAAACCTGCACGGTTTTACTCTTGGGTATCCTCCCAAAAAGGCCTCGTACTAATTGGGCTAGGTGGACACTGATATACAAGGGTTCCTTCTCTTGTATTTCTGATGTTGTACTAGGATTGTCCCATAACAATCCTCCCCCGAAGACAATGACCACGAACATCGTGTCCTCAACTCAGCGATTATCTTGATTCGCCAGACACCTTGTATCGATGGGCTTCTCGTTAGAAGGATTTTTCCAGACGCGGTACTCTCTTTGATCCGCCAAACAGACGTGGATCCCTCCTGGATCCACCAAACAGCCCAGACGCGGAACTCTCTTTGATATGCCAAACGAACGTGGATCACAAATCAAACGCGGATTGCCTTGATCCGCCAAACCAGATGTAGCCCATACGTGGATCTCTCGTGGATCCACCAAACCAGATGCAGATCTCAAATACCGAGGTCACTGGATGAGGGTCCACCAAACTGACATCCACCGCCCCGGATCCGACGAACCAGGCTCTGATGCCACTTGTCAAACCGGGGTGCTTGATTAGTACGATATTGTCCTCTTTGGGCCAAGACCGCACGGTTTTACTTTTGGGTGTCCTCCCAAAAGGCCTCTTACTAAGTGGCCTAGGTAGACTGTAATATACAAGGGTTCCTTCCCTCATATTTCCAATGTGGTACTTGGACTGTCCCATAACAGACGTTATCATCTTCTTCTTCTTTATCTCTCTCCCCGTCCTTCTAAAGGCCATTGATGGCGATTCCAAGGCCATTGATTGCAATTCCGTGAAGGGATTCGAACCACTGTTGGTAATCGGGAATGTCGAGGCGAGGGAAGCTGGTGGCGTAGTCGAAAAGTTGCTGATTTTCTCCAGGAGTGTTTGGTGGGAGATGAGAGGGGCATTGGGGTTTAGATTGCCTATAATTTTTCTTTATTCTTTATTTTACTTGTAAAAATAATTATATAGATTAATAAATATAATGCACAGTCTTTGTGCCACATCATTAATTAATATCCAACTCAGTGATAAAATTGTTAAAATTGTTAGGTAAGAGTCAACTAATAGTTGACCGGACGTAAAGTTGACATTTTGACTATTAAATTGTTTTCAAAATTTTTTGGATATTATTGTGTTTAAAACGAAATATTTGGCTATTGAATTGTATTTAACTAAAACAAAAAGTCAAAAAGACTCTCAAAGATTTCTTTAGTTACGAAATGGTCACCCATTGGATGGAAACTATTAATGATGGACCCTGACCTTGTTGAAGAAGAAGAATGGAGTCGCCACGATTAGCTTCTTTTAACAAAATCCACACTGGACCCAATCCGTTTATTACAAAAGTGGGTCAAATTCGTTCTCTACCCAAAATTCGCCAACACCAGGTTAAACTCACTTTGACCGGTTCGAATTAGGTGCCCACTCCGTTCATTGCAAAAACAGGTAAAACTCGTCCCCGTTCATAAATTCGTCAAAACGGGATTAAGCGCGCTTTGACAGAGTCGTATTAGAAAAGCATCTAAAACACGATCCCGTAGCAAAACTATTCAATATCACATTCACCTCACGCAACAAAATCCATAGTCGTCTCAATTCGTTGCCGACAAAACTCGTCAACATCGCGTGAAGTCTAAACTTATTGTCATAATTGGGCTGCTCAATTAGTACGATATTGTCCATTTTGGGCCAAGCCCGCACGGTTCTATTTTTGGATATCCTCCCCACAAGGCCTTGTGCTAATGAGATTGGTTGAAGCTAATATACAAGGGTTCCTTCCCTTTTATTTCTGATGTGATATTTGAATTGTTCCATAACAATACTCCCCTCAAGGAAAGAACAATCAATAGGTCATTAGGATAAAAAAGGTACCTAACTTGAAGGCAAAAGAAAAGTAGTCAAACACAATTGATCATAAAATTCGACGGGAAAAAAGTAGTCGAACACAATAGATAATAAAATTTGGCGGAAAAAAAAACCATTTGCAACCCTGGCATAACAGAGAAAAGTTGGTGAAACTACTCCAAGCGGCTACACAAAACAAATACATAATAAAATTCGACTAAAAAAAATAGTTAAACACAATAGATCATAAAATCCGGTATAAAAAAACCAAAAAAACCATTTGCAACCCCGACACAACAGAGAAAGGCGGTCAAACGACTCCAAGAGGCTACACAAAACAAATTCAAGCAGTTATTTGCAAGACCTGGATAAACCTTAAACTCGCAAAAACCATATTCAAGTCCGACACAACGGGAAACATGTAACATCCCATTTTGGCTTAACTCGTATTACGATCCCTAGAAAATTTCAAGATTTAAAATCAAGTGTTTACAGTATGTCGACGAAAATCGGAATATCGATCGATCGGATAAGTATACGTATTAATTTTATATATATAAAACAATAAGCGGTCAGGACGCATATATATAAATCTTCCCCCGTCCATTAATTCCTTCATCAACATCAACAGTAGCAGTAGCAAGTACATAAGTGTGAGCAGAACGAGGAGTTGAAGGAAGAATTAGGTATTGTCTTCGACTATTTTGTGCTTGGACGACTACTTGGGATTTTGGCCAGTGATCCACATCTCTTTTGTAAAAATGTTTTGAGAACATTTTTCATGTGCATATTAGCTTCTGATGTAGTGTGAGATATCCACAGGTGTGGAAAGTTGATATGTTTATATTTGTACGGTTGTGTAAGTTGTGACGACTATGACATGTATTATTATGGTATGCAGTTGTGGAGTATGAAACTGTGACTATGGCTATAAAAACCAATGTATATGGTTGTCAGTATATATGTATGTCTACGAATGCAGGGATTCAAATGAATTATTTTGCAGGTCTAGTTGCAAGAACTTTTAGCCCATTACGCGAGTAGTTCATGTCGAAATTTTATTTGGGTAAATTTTGGTAATTAATGTAACACCAATTTTATATTCCGCTGCAATTGTATGAACAATATGATTAGGCAAAACGTATAGGATAGGGTGTTACAGTTTGGTATCAGAGCTAGTTTGTTTTCTGCATTATTGGTATGTTACTTCCACTCTTGAGGATGATCGCCCTCAAAAGGGGAGGGAGTACTCCATACCTGTAATTGAACTAAACTTCC